CCAAAAAAAAAATAATAATAGGGCATAGCTTTTGGCAGTTGCCAAGGGTTTTGGGTAAAGGGTGTAATTTGAGCGGATCAACCTAAATTTAACTTGAAAAAACATAACTTGTGATAGAGTTTTTAATACATGGGTTAGGCTTTGTTAAAAAACTTCAACCTGAATTGAATTCGGACAAGAATCAGGTTGAGGTTTCGACTTGTCAGGTTCAACCTGAATATTAAAATCAAGTTGAACCCAAATATACATAAATATATATATTTAAGTACGGTTAGTATTTATGTTCACTCTCCAGAGTCTAGACTTTCACTTCACTTCAAATCTTCACCCTTGTGCCTCAATCACTCCCAGATCCCTTTTTCACTCATTTTTCATTTGGTCTCATACTCTCTCTCTCTCTCTCTCCCTCTCTCTCTTACGCACTCGTTTGAGTCTCGTTTCAGACTCTCAACCTCTTAGCCTCCCTCTTTTACTCGTTACTGCTCTCTCTTTTAACAACTTAAATTAAGTAATTCAAACCCAATCTGATTTTTAATTCTAAATCAGCCTGAATTAAATAATTCAAATTCAATTCGAGCCCACCCAAATTAAATTCGGGCAATACTTCAATTGAGATTAGATAAAAATCAGGGTTAAAATTAAAAATTATATACTTAAAGTTGAATTAAAGTTAACGTGCCGAACTCGCATGAATTGCACCCTAATTTTGGGGATGAATTTGATACACCAAATATTTGTCTGCCGTCATTGCNCAACTCTTTTGATTAGAATGCTAAATCAAAAAGAGTAAAATGCTAATTCAATAGCTTCTTCATCCTTGAAAATGGCTTTGGCTTAGACCTTAAAAGTGCGTTTTACATGGTTTCGTCTTTCATGGTACCATCGAGATGATGAAGTGGTCTTTCCTAGGGAAAGCAATGAAAAATCTAAATTTGAGCCAAATTCGAAACTAAACCAAAACTAAACCAAAATGTAAGTAGGTAACAAAATTCACATTTTAGGGTGCTAACTAATTTATCGAGCCTGATTCGAACAGAGCTAAAAATTTGACGAGCTTAAAAACATATTTAAGCTTGAATCATTTTTAATATAGGTCGATCTTAAACGAGTTTTAACAAGTTCATCTCATGTCAGTCTTGAAAAACCTAGTAAAATGAACATCTTGAAAAACCTGTACTATACTTTAATGTGCTGGCCATATGTTTCTCCTCACGAAACTATGAATATGGTGAATTATACAACTAATAACTTGTACTCCACTGCAACAATCTAATGTACCGGATTTGTTTCATGGTTTAAAAAAAGTTAAATATACGTGGTCATACTCTTCATGAGAAAGGACTTTTTTTTTTTTTTTGTATTTAAATTTGTAATACCTAAATCACAATAAATCGACTTTATTGTTGCATTAAGCCCTATAGTAATTTGTCCAGTGACTAAGTTGTAGTTTTGATCCAGGATTCAAAATATAGACCGGGTGATGCAATTTTTATAAAGAAAAAAAAGAGGAGTAACCTTCCAACAAGCAGAGGAGCTATGAAAAATGATGTTATCAGAACAGTAGACGTGAATCAATTTTCTGTTTTCTAGGCCACAGTAGATTTGGATTACATCTGAAATATTAGACTGGTTGAATTGGTTTAAAAATGGTGTCATATAAACTCCTTCATCTTACAAAGGGGCACAAGACTTATTAAACCAGCCAAGCCACCCTTCACTTTTATTTCTCTTTGTCAACAAGTTGACCCACTAAATATATAAAACTTTCATCCATAATAATATCTGAGATATGAAAAAAAAGGTAATTTTATTTTGAAAAATAATATACAATCGAAATGAAACCTAAAAAGTGCAACTCAAATGCATTTCATCTTTTAAATGAGTGTTGGATGTGTGGATTCCACTAAAAAAGTTGATGAGACTCACTCATCTAAGAGATGATATACATTTTGATTATAATTTTTTGGATTACATTTGAATTGCCTAACATTACTCTTTTATTTTTGTTTTAAAAATAATAATACAAATTACATTTAAAAATAGTAATACTAATTTACGTATCTCATTTAATAACTTAATGCATGACTGTCATCGGATTGACATTAGAGCCCATCCACTAATAGGACCTATTGCTTATCCCTTGATCTCGGTGCAATAAATTCTTAAACTTAATACAAATAGTATTACTTTTTTGGAAAGTTTGATTCTCAATTCAAAAATATTCTTTAGGATCGTGTCTTCAATTTAATNCTTCATCTTACAAAGGGGCACAAGACTTATTAAACCAGCCAAGCCACCCTTCACTTTTATTTCTCTTTGTCAACAAGTTGACCCACTAAATATATAAAACTTTCATCCATAATAATATCTGAGATATGAAAAAAAAGGTAATTTTATTTTGAAAAATAATATACAATGGAAATGAAACCTAAAAATTGCAATTCAAATGTATTTCATCTTTTAAATGAGTGTTGGATGTGTAGATTTCACTAAAAACGTTTATGAACCTCGCTCATCTAAGAGATGATATACATTTTGATTATAATTTTTTGGATTACATTTGAATTGCCTAACATTACTCTTTTATTTTTGTTTTAAAAATAATAATACAAATTACATTTAAAAATAGTAATACTAATTTACGTATCTCATTTAATAACTTAATGCATGACTGTCATCGGATTGACATTAGAGCCCATCCACTAATAGGACCTATTGCTTATCCCTTGATCTCGGTGCAATAAATTCTTAAACTTAATACAAATAGTATTACTTTTTTGGAAAGTTTGATTCTCAATTCAAAAATATTCTTTAGGATCGTGTCTTCAATTTAATTTTAAATACACAAAAAAAGAAAAAGAAAAAAAGACTAGGAACCTTAAAATAATAATTCCTAATATAGATACCTCCAAAACCCCACCCCCACCCCCAAAAAAAAAAAATAATAGGGCATAGCTTTTGGCAGTCGCCAAGGGTTTTGGGTAAGGGAGTAATTTGAGCGGATCAACCTAAATTTAACTTGAAAAAACATGACTTGTGATAGAGTTTTTAATACATGGGTTAGGCTTTGGTAAAAAACTTCAACCTGAATTAAATTCGGACAAACATCGGGTTGAGGTTTCGACTTGTCAGGTTCAACCCGAATATTAAAATCGGGTTGAACCCAAATATACATAAATATATATATTTAAGTACGGTTAATATTTATGTTCACTCTCTAGAGTCTAGACTTTCACTTCACTTCAAATTTTCACTCTTGTGCCTCAATCACTCCCAGATCCTTTTCTCACTCATTTTTCATCTGGTCTCAGACTCTCACTCTCTCTCTCTTACTCACTCGTTTGAGTCTCATTTCAAACTCTCAACCTCTTAGCCTCCCTTTTTTACTCGTTACTTCTCTCTCTTTTAACAACTTAAATTAAGTAACTCGAATCCAATCTGATTTTTAATTCTAAATCAGCCTGAATTAAATAATTCGAATTCAATTCGAGCCCACCTAAATTAAATACGGGCAATACTTGAATTGAGATTAGATTAGAGTCAGGGTTAAAATTAAAAATTATATACTTAAAGTTGAATTAAAGTTAACGCGCCGAACTCGCATGAATTGCACCCTAATTTTGGGGATGAATTTGATACACCAAATATTTGTCTGCCGTCATTGCGGACTGTTATAATTTAATTTAGTGACTTTTTTGTTGTGGAAAACATAATAATTATTGGAATCTTCTGTCGGCACTTTTAGAATTTCACAACGTAAGCAAACAATCAATACAATCATAGGTTGGGAAAGTGTCAATCAAACAATTTCTTTTTCTTCTCCTTACTAATCTTTTCTTCATAAACACACGTGTGGTAGCAGTTGGGTGACAACTTGTATAGCAAAAGCCCTTACAATTGTAGCTAGTTTGAATCCTTGGCTACTTCCTATGATAGAAAATATTATGGTATCGAATATTATTTTTTATATTTATAATATCAACAGTTTTGATCCAATTGAATTACATTACAATTCATATATGTTAAGTTGAGGTTTAATGCATTTGATTAAAATTGAGCAAAAGAGAATATATAATTCATATTTCAAACTAGTTAGGGTAAAAAATATGATTGACTTGATTGAAGCCTAACCAATCTGACCTACAATTCAGGTCAACCTAGACACAACGCAGTTTGATACCAAATATTTGCTAACTGTAGCATGATTTGTATGTAATAGAGGTGTTCAAAGATTCAACATTAGTTCAATCATTTCAATGAGCTGTAGAGTTTAGATGTACTAGAAATCTAAACCGCCCTGTCCTTGAAGATTTTCCCAGTTGTTCAATCATCTTTCAATCCCATGTACGGTTAGAGAGTTTTATTCAGAAACCTTTCTTTCTTTGAAGGTCAATGTTATTTATCTATTTATAATCCTTTACTCAATTTAAATTCCCATCCTGCATGTCCTAGTTAGGCTCCAAATTCAGTCACCACTCAAACACAATCCCTTATTGTGATAGCAAACCTGTACATTGAAAGAAAAATGAACNTCAAAAGAGAAGATATAATGCATATTTCAAACTAGTTAGTGTAAAAAATATGATTGACTTGATTGAAGCCTAACCAATCTGACCTACAATTCAGGTCAACCTAAACACAACGCAGTTTGATACCAAATATTTGCTAACTGTAGCATGATTTGTATGTAATAGAGGTGTTCAAAGATTCAACATTAGTTCAATCATTTCAATGAGCTGTAGAGTTTAGATGTACTAGAAATCTAAACCGCCCTGTCCTTGAAGATTTTCCCAGTTGTTCAATCATCTTTCAATCCCATGTACGGTTAGAGAGTTTTATTCAGAAACCTTTCTTTCTTTGAAGGTCAATGTTATTTATCTATTTATAATCCTTTACTCAATTTAAATTCCCATCCTGCATGTCCTAGTTAGGCTCCAAATTCAGTCACCACTCAAACACAATCCCTTATTGTGATAGCAAACCTGTACATTGAAAGAAAAATGAACCACAATTTTACAAATGATCCTATTTTTTCAAATGATTCCAACCACGAAGATGTGTTTCCGGAGGAGGAAGCTTCGGGGGATTGTGACTACTTTGATGGTGTTCTCAAATACATAAATCAAATNAACCACGAAGATGTGTTTCCGGAGGTGGAAGCTTCGGGGGATTGTGACTACTTTGATGGTGTTCTCAAATACATAAATCAAATGCTAATGGAAGAGGATAACTTGGAGAATAAACCTTGCATGTTCCAAGACTGCTCTGCTCTCCAAGCTACTGAGAAATCCTTCCACGATCTTCTTGGTCAGAAGTATCCTCCGCCGCCTTCATACCAACAATACTCTTCAATCCCTGATCAAAATGCTTACAACCCAGATGGTAATTTCACTAGTAGTCACTGTAGTACTAGCTGTACCGTTGTGAACACCTTTGTTGAGCCCAATTGGATTAGTGATCAGTGCGCGGTTGAACCAGGTTTTGGACAATCTTCTCTTCTTGACCACAACTTCCAGTCTAATTTNACATCTCTCGGCAGACACTTCTTGAGTCTAGATTTAGGGGGAACCCCCACGTATAACTAGGGGGTAGGGGAGTCTTTGGAATAAGAGGAGCCTTGTCAGGAGAAATAATGTAAACCCCCACATGTCTAAACTATCAACAATCGTCCAATTAGCTTCGTTTNGTCTTCTTGTTCTTCAAACAACTTCTGCGATGTTGTTGATGGGTTATGGGACTCTCATGTGACTCCATTTCAGGTTTTAGATTCAGCCATAGACACCCAATTTGCCTCGCAGATACAGCCCATGGGAGAGGAAGAAAGAGTTGACCATTCATTTCCAATTAATGAATTTGTGAATTATGGCTTTGAGGAACAATTACAAAACATGTCAAGTTGCAAGAAAAATCAATACCGAGAAGTTAATGATTATGCAGAAGAGGAGCCAACTAAAAAACAGTTGGCGGGTTATGCTGAAGAGATTGAGCAACCAGAGATGTTTGATAAGTTGTTGCTTTGTCCTGCTAGCAATCCTGGTTTGCAAGATGATCATTCCACGAAAAATGGAGCAAGGAACAACATGGAGCAGAATATTGGGCAGTCACCAGGATCAAAAAGGGGCCGAAGCCGAAAGGCACGAGGTAACAATAGAAGAGAATTGGTGGATTTGAGGGGTCTCCTAACTCAGTGTTCTCAAGCTGTGGCAAGCTTCGATAGCAGGATCGCCAACAAACTGCTGAAGCGGATCAGGGAGCATTCTTCGCCTTACGGTGATGGTACTGAGAGGGTGGCACATTATATTTCGAATGCCCTCGAGGCACGCCTGGCCGGAACTGGGACAGCATTATATGCAGCTTTGAGTACCAGGAGAACATCAGCCACTGAAATGTTGAAAGCTTACCGGGCCTATGCAACTGCATGCCCATTCTATCGAATGTCAAACACTTTTGCAAACAAATCAATTGGGAATGTATCTAGTGGAGTGACAAGGCTTCACATAGTTGATTTTGGTATTTTGTATGGCTTTCAATGGCCCTGCATTATCCAGGGTCTCTCTAATCGCCCTGGTGGGCCTCCAAAGCTTCGTATTACAGGTATAGATTTTCCCCAATCGGGCTTTCGGCCAGCAGAGAGGGTTGAGGAGACAGGACATCGCCTAGCAAATTATTGCAAGAGATTCAACATTCCCTTTGAGTACAATGCAATAGCAAAGAAATGGGAAACTATCCAACCTGATGATATTAAGATTGGCAGAGATGAAATGCTTATTGTTAACTGTTTGTACCGGCTAAGGAATGTGCCTGATGAAACGGTAATGTATAACAGTCCAAGAGATGCTGTTCTGAATTTGATCAGGAGGTTGAACCCTGCTATGTTCATGCACGGAGTTGCAAATGGGAAATATAGTGGCCCCTTTTTTGGTCCACGATTTCGAGAGGCGCTCTTCCATTTCTCTGCACTGTTTGATATGTTTGAGGCAAACTTGCCACGAGAAGATGAGGACAGATTACGGTTTGAGAGAGAGGTTTTTGGAAGGGAAGCCATGAATGTGGTAGCATGTGAGGTTACTGAGAGGGTTGAGAGGCCAGAGACATACAAGCAGTGGCAAGTTCGGAATCAGAGGGCTGGTTTCAGGCAGCTCCCACTGAAGCAGGACATCATGGAGGAGGTAAGAACTAAGAAGCTGCGCTACCACAAGGATTTTGTGGTAGGTGAAGACGGCAACTGGATGTTGCAGGGTTGGAAGGGGAGGATTATTTATGCTCTCTCCTGTTGGAAGCCTGATCAGGACTAATAATAGGTTTGTAATCCTTTGCTCCTTGGGTTTGATGGGAAATGTTATTATATTACTAGTTTTAATATTATTTTGGAAGTTTTGATTTTATCAAATTAAATTAGGATTCAAATGTATCAAATTATAATTTAGTGGAGTCAATTAAGATCGATTGCTTACGATTGATCTCGAATATTTAGTGATGATACCCAAAATATGATTAAGGTTGAACTCGGGTGCTCAGTTCGGCATGTCTGCAATCGCGCAGCTCATGGTGAGCTGTCAGAGGTGCTTAGGTCAGTTTTCCCTAATGACAATGCCACCCAGCTAACAGCAAGGATGATAGATGGTAATCACCAAAGTGCAACGCATAAATCGCAATAGCTTTATGTTCGAGCAAGAGAACCACAACCACCAAGGCACCACCCATGGAGACTACATAATAGACGTGTCTATTACAGATAAGAGGCAAGGATCACGCCGAAATATCAGACAAAACCCTGAGAGACTATAAATAAGATGCATATCCCTCACAATGAAGGACAAGCAACCAGTGTAAACAAATATTCTATGTAATCCTCCTTTTTATGAATAAAATCTTCCCTAGGAGCAAAAAAATCTCTTGAGAGTGAATTAGCCGAGCTCCTGAGCTGGTGAACCAGTATAAACTCCCCTTTTACAATCCCCCATCACTCTTGACTAATCCTAAAGAGCCTAAGAGCTCTGATTGGATCATCCAGTGATTCCCTAACCACTGCGAACAATAACCCTGTTCAATTGCACAGCACAAACCATGGTCATTTCAACAGTGGGGGTTGGAGATACTCAAACCCCTTCCAGGAAGCACTCGATAATGTAAATTCACAATAATTAGGGTAGATTACTTCACTAAATGGGCTGAGGTGGAATCTGTTTCAAAAATCACAGAGCAAAAAATCCAGAACTTCACTTGGAAATCTATAATCTGCAAATTTGGGGTCCCAATGGCACTCATCTATGATAACAGGAAACAGTTCAATAATTTCAGGTTCAAAAGATTCTCTACCAATCTGAGTATAAAGAATTACTTCTTGGCACCGGCCCACCCTCAGTTAAATGGGTAAGTAGAGGTGACCATCTAAACTATCAAAACAGTTCTAAAAATCAAGCTCGAAGCCTTAAAGAGTCAATGGGTGGAACATCTACCGGGAGTACTATGGGCCTACAGAACCATCGCCAGAACAACCACTAATGAAACACTTTTTGCCTTGGCATATGGCACCGAGGTGGTGGCCCCTGTTGAAATAGGCATTCTATCCCTAGGAATAGAGCTCGTCAACTATCATAGAAAAACAACATGGTACTCCAACAGGAGGCTGAGGAGTTTCAAGGTGGGAGACTTAGTCCTTGAGAAGCTCCTCCCAGCCAGAAAGAACCCCTCTCATGGAAAGGTGGGACCCAATTGGTAAAGCCCATACATCATGACTAGAATAGTCATACCAAAGAATTACGAGCTATAGACTAAGGAAAGAAGAGCATTGCCTCACTCAGGGAACGCTGATCACTTGAAGAAATTCTATTAATAGTTGAGAAAAACAAAAAATCCTATTTTTTAAAAATTTGTTGTAATAAATGAGAAGTTTCAGGTTAATTGCCATTCTTCTACTAATAGATGAGCTTTTTAGCTCATAACAAAATATGAGATTCTCAGCTTGTAACAAAAGATGAGCTCTATAACTCATAAATTAAATATGAGCTTCTCAGCTCATAACAAAAGATGAGCTCTTTAGCTTATAAATTAAAGGTGAGCTTCTCAGCTTATAACAAAAGATGAGCTGGTGGAGGGGACAGACCTCACATTTGAGCATTTTTAGCAAACAAAGATGCTCCCAAAAGACCAAAACTCTCCTCAAAGAACGGTGTGAGGGGAAAAATGACACATAAATATCAAAAGCAAGATATGCTAGATTTTTCATTAACTTTCTTCTAAAGTTTGATATGCAAGTTAACTTTCTTTCAAAATTACATACTACAAAAAGACCTAAGTATCCGCTATAGTTCCCATTGTCTCTTCAGCTCCTGGAGGTAGCTCGGTAGCAGCATCAGTTGAGATAGGGAAATTGTCAAGCAAAGAAGATTTAGGGGCCTCATCTCCAGCAGAAGCAGTGGGGGGCTGGGGGGCATCCAGGGTAGCCTTAGACATGTTCACCTCTGCATGAATAGCCGTCTCGGAAGAAGCTGCCAGGGATAGGACAGACTCAGAAATCCTGATCTCAGCCTTAGAAGGAATGAACTAAAAGCCCTGACCTCGACTTCAGTAGGGGCAACCTTAAGATCCTCGACCTTAGCCTCCTTCCCTGTAGCTGATCCTACTTCTTCTTCGTCCAGAGGAGGTTTGAAGTCAAAATCCAGCTCTGGGTACTTGTCCATTGCTTACACTTGAAAAGTAAAATAGCTTTTGGCCCAGGCCATGACACACTCGTCCTTAAGCTCAAAAAACTTGGTGTCCCTTTCCAGCAGCTTGGCCCTCTTGTCCTCAATCTCCTTCAGACAAACGACGTTGACTTTAGCAAGGTCCTTGTAGTCACTCTTTACTGCCTTAACAGCTTCACGTGCCTCGAAGACGTCCTTCCATACTTGAACCAGGCCATTTGTCTTGAGCTTCACCTCATCACTTTTCTTCTTAACCCCAACTTCAAGTTTCATATTTGCTGAGCTCAGACCCTGTATCTGATTTCTTAGGTCCTGTGTCTAATCTCTCATATCATCATTGGCAAAAGTCTGTTCAGAGACCTTAAGCTTAGAGGACTTCAGGGATTTTTGGGCCATCCCTACAGCCTTCTTTGAGGCCCGAATCTTGCCCATCGGGCTTCCACATGGATTGCCATCTGCAAAACAAGACCACAGATCAGCAAGATTAAACAACAAAACCAATGAGCCCATGAGCCTAGAATCAAAGATGAAAGCCTTGAACTAATTGAAGCGGCCCCACAAAAGGCAGTGGTAGCTGAGGTGGATAGAGGCATTGAAAAGGCCTCCTGGATGTTCACCTCAAGAATAAAAGAAAGAAGGGTATGGGCGGCCAAGTTCATATCCTTGATAAGGGAACCCCCGTCTAGGGTAGCCCAATTTGGAGAACCTTTTGTTAAGACCACCAGAGGGAAAGCCTCACCAGCAGGTTCGATGGAGAAAGAACCCCGTAAAGACGGAGCCAAAGACTTTAGAGCCCCAACCATCTCTTTCGCTGAGAAAAAGGCTTGACATCTCTCGGCAGACACTTCTTGAGTCTAGATTTAGGGGGAACCCCCACGTATGACTAGGGGGTAGGGGAGTCTTTGGAATAAGAGGAGCCTTGTCAGGAGGAATAATGTAAACCCCCACATGTCTAAACTATCAACAATCGTCCAATTAGCTTCGTTTTGTATTTAATGTCTCCATTTACATCCAAAATCAAAATATAAGAATAATAAGTATATTTAGGTTCCAAATAAGTATAAAATGCTAAATATTAAATTAGAAAAAAATATGACATTTTGTATTCTCATCAATTAGCTAGCTTAGAGGAATTAAAGAAAAATGTTGATGGATATACTAGTTCTACATCATGTTGTTATAAATGATTTTAGGAGACGGATGGTAATTTGATTTTGGTTAATGAATGATGCTAGACATGGATCTTTATACAAGTCATACTATCTATATTGGAGATAGATATAAGATAGAATTTGTAACAAAAGACACTCAAACTCGAGTTAGACAAATATAGAAGAACCAAACAGTCCGGCAGACTACCTTTCACCAATTTGATCATAACTCTTTGTTGGAAAGTCCAAATTGTGCACCGTTATTTTTGTNGGGGGGCATCCAGGGTAGCCTTAGACATGTTCACCTCTGCATGAATAGCCGTCTCGGAAGAAGCTGCCAGGGATAGGACAGACTCAGAAATCCTGATCTCAGCCTTAGAAGGAATGAACTAAAAGCCCTGACCTCGACTTCAGTAGGGGCAACCTTAAGATCCTCGACCTTAGCCTCCTTCCCTGTAGCTGATCCTACTTCTTCTTCGTCCAGAGGAGGTTTGAAGTCAAAATCCAGCTCTGGGTACTTGTCCATTGCTTACACTTNAAGGCACGCCTGGCCGGAACTGGGACAGCATTATATGCAGCTTTGAGTACCTGGAGAACATCAGCCACTGAAATGTTGAAAGCTTACCGGGCCTATGCAACTGCATGCCCATTCTATNCCGTCCTTAAGCTCAAAAATTTTGGTGTCCCTTTCCAGCAGCTTGGCCCTCTTGTCCTCAATCTCCTTCAGACAAACGACGTTGACTTTAGCAAGGTCCTTGTAGTCANCCCATTCTATCGAATGTCAAACACTTTTGCAAACAAATCAATTGGGAATGTATCTAGTGGAGTGACAAGGCTTCACATAGTTGATTTTGGTATTTTGTATGGCTTTCAATGGCCCTGCATTATCCAGGGTCTCTCTAATCGCCCTGGTGGGCCTCCAAAGCTTCGTATTACAGGTATAGATTTTCCCCAATCGGGCTTTCGGCCAGCAGAGAGGGTTGAGGAGACAGGACATCGCCTAGCAAATTATTGCAAGAGATTCAACATTCCCTTTGAGTACAATGCAATAGCAAAGAAATGGGAAACTATCCAACCTGATGATATTAAGATTGGCAGAGATGAAATGCTTATTGTTAACTGTTTGTACCGGCTAAGGAATGTGCCTGATGAAACGGTAATGTATAACAGTCCAAGAGATGCTGTTCTGAATTTGATCAGGAGGTTGAACCCTGCTATGTTCATGCACGGAGTTGCAAATGGGAAATATAGTGGCCCCTTTTTTGGTCCACGATTTCGAGAGGCGCTCTTCCATTTCTCTGCACTGTTTGATATGTTTGAGGCAAACTTGCCACGAGAAGATGAGGACAGATTACGGTTTGAGAGAGAGGTTTTTGGAAGGGAAGCCATGAATGTGGTAGCATGTGAGGTTACTGAGAGGGTTGAGAGGCCAGAGACATACAAGCAGTGGCAAGTTCGGAATCAGAGGGCTGGTTTCAGGCAGCTCCCACTGAAGCAGGACATCATGGAGGAGGTAAGAACTAAGAAGCTGCGCTACCACAAGGATTTTGTGGTAGGTGAAGACGGCAACTGGATGTTGCAGGGTTGGAAGGGGAGGATTATTTATGCTCTCTCCTGTTGGAAGCCTGATCAGGACTAATAATAGGTTTGTAATCCTTTGCTCCTTGGGTTTGATGGGAAATGTTATTATATTACTAGTTTTAATATTATTTTGGAAGTTTTGATTTTATCAAATTAAATTAAGATTCAAATGTATCAAATTATAATTTAGTGGAGTCAATTAAGATCGATTGCTTACGATTGATCTCGAATATTTAGTGATGATACCCAAAATATGATTAAGGTTGAACTCGGGTGCTCAGCTCGGCATGTCTGCAATCGCGCAGCTCATGGTGAGCTGTCAGAGGTGCTTAGGTCAGTTTTCCCTAATGACAATGCCACCCAGCTAACAGCAAGGATGATAGATGGTAATCACCAAAGTGCAACGCATAAATCGCAATAGCTTTACGTTCGGGCAAGAGAACCACAACCACCAAGGCACCACCCATGGAGACTACATAATAGACGTGTCTATTACAGATAAGAGGCAAGGATCACGCCGAAATATCAGACAAAACCCTGAGAGACTATAAATAAGATGCATATCCCTCACAATGAAGGACAAGCAACCAGTGTAAACAAATATTCTATGTAATCCTCCTTTTTATGAATAAAATCTTCCCTAGGAGCAAAAAAATCTCTTGAGAGTGAATTAGCCGAGCTCCTGAGCTGGTGAACCAGTATAAACTCCCCTTTTACAATCCCCCAACACTCTTGACTAATCCTAAAGAGCCTAAGAGCTCTGATTGGATCATCCAGTGATTCCCTAACCACTGCGAACAATAACCCTGTTCAATTGCACAGCACAAACCATGGTCATTTCAACAGTGGGGGTTAGAGATACTCAAACCCCTTCCAGGAAGCACTCGATAATGTAAATTCACAATAATTAGGGTAGATTACTTCACTAAATGGGCTGAGGTGGAATCTTTTTCAAAAATCACAGAGCAAAAAATCCAGAACTTCACTTGAAAATCTATAATCTGCAAATTTGGGGTCCCAATGGCACTCATCTATGATAACAGGAAACAGTTCAATAATTTCAGGTTCAAAAGATTCTCTACCAATCTGAGTNTTTTCAAAAATCACAGAGCAAAAAATCCAGAACTTCACTTGGAAATCTATAATCTGCAAATTTGGGGTCCCAATGGCACTCATCTCGGATAACAGGAAACAGTTCAATAATTTCAGGTTCAAAAGATTCTCTACCAATCTGAGTATAAAGAATTACTTCTTGGCACCGGCCCACCCTCAGTTAAATGGGTAAGTAGAGGTGACCATCTAAACTATCAAAACAGTTCTAAAAATCAAGCTCGAAGCCTTAAAGAGTCAATGGGTGGAACATCTACCGGGAGTACTATGGGCCTACAGAACCATCGCCAGAACAACCACTAATGAAACACTTTTTGCCTTGGCATATGGCACCGAGGTGGTGGCCCCTGTTGAAATAGGCATTCTATCCCTAGGAATAGAGCTCGTCAACTATCATAGAAAAACAACATGGTACTCCAACAGGAGGCTGAGGAGTTTCAAGGTGGGAGACTTAGTCCTTGAGAAGCTCCTCCCAGCCAGAAAGAACCCCTCTCATGGAAAGGTGGGACCCAATTGGTAAAGCCCATACATCATGACTAGNGTCAGGCTGAGGAGTTTCAAGGTGGGAGACTTAGTCCTTGAGAAGCTCCTCCCAGCCAGANAGTCATATGGATCAAATTGGAGATTCTTAGTGGAAAAATCGTAATTTTAGAGAAAACAAAAACAGACTGTGAACAGTATTTTTCGGGGTTGACTGTGTTTAAAACACTGATTTCAACCTCTTTACTCTTATTTCTTTCACTCCACTCTCACCCCACTCCTCTTGGAATCCTAGGAGAAGGTAAAAGAAAGGAAGGAAAGAAGAAAGGAGGTCTATAGGGCTTGAGCTTTCACTTAGAATTTTTGATTCAAGGTAGGGGTTTCTCTCACTCTTATTCATTGAGGTTAGGGCTATGTATATATATATATATATATATATATATATATTNATCATAGAAAAACAACATGGTACTCCAACAGGAGGGTCAGGCTGAGGAGTTTCAAGGTGGGAGACTTAGTCCTTGAGAAGCTCCTCCCAGCCAGAAAGAACCCCTCTCATGGAAAGGTGGGACCCAATTGGTAAAGCCCATACATCATGACTAGAATAGTCATACCAAAGAATTACGAGCTATAGACTAAGGAAAGAAGAGCATTGCCTCACTCAGGGAACGCTGATCACTTGAAGAAATTCTATTAATAGTTGAGAAAAACAAAAAATCCTATTTTTTAAAAATTTGTTGTAATAAATGAGAAGTTTCAGGTTAATTGCCATTCTTCTACTAATAGATGAGCTTTTTAGCTCATAACAAAATATGAGATTCTCAGCTTGTAACAAAAGATGAGCTCTATAACTCATAAATTAAATATGAGCTTCTCAGCTCATAACAAAAGATGAGCTATTTAGCTCATAAACAAAAGATGAGCTCTTTAGCTTATAAATTAAAGGTGAGCTTCTCATCTTATAACAAAAGATGAGCTGGTGGAGTGGACAGACCTCACATTTGAGCATTTTTAGCAAACAAAGATGCTCCCAAAAGACCAAAACTCTCCTCAAAGAATGGTGTGAGGGGAAAAATGACACATAAATATCAAAAGCAAGATATGCTAGATTTTTCATTAACTTTCTTCTAAAGTTTGATATGCAAGTTAACTTTCTTTCAAAATTACAGACTACAAAAAGACCTAAGTATCCGCTATAGTTCCCATTGTCTCTTCAGCTCCTGGAGGTAGCTCGGTAGCAGCATCAGTTGAGATAGGGAAATTGTCAAGCAAAGAAGATTTAGGGGCCTCATCTCCAGCAGAAGCAGTGGGGGGCTAGGGGGCGTCCAGGGTAGCCTTAGACATGTTCACCTCTGCATGAATAGCCGTCTCGGAAGAAGCTGCCAGGGATGGGACAGACTCAGAAATCCTGATCTCAGCCTTAGAAGGAATGAACTAAAAGCCCTGACCACGACTTCAGTAGGGGCAACCTTAAGATCCTCGACCTTAGCCTCCTTCCCTGTAGCTGATCCTGCTTCTTCGTCGTCCAGAGGAGGTTTGAAGTCAAAATCCAGCTCTGGGTACTTGTCCATTGCTTACACTTGAAAAGTAAAATAGCTTTTGGCCCAGGCCATGACACACCCGTCCTTAAGCTCAAAAATTTTGGTGTCCCTTTCCAGCAGCTTGGCCCTCTTGTCCTCAATCTCCTTCAGACAAACGACGTTGACTTTAGCAAGGTCCTTGTAGTCACTCTTTACTGCCTTAACAGCTTCACGTGCCTCGAAGACGTCCTTCCATACTTGAACCAGGCCATTTGTCTTGAGCTTCACCTCATCACTTTTCTTCTTAACCCCAACTTCAAGTTTCATATTCGCTGAGCTCAGACCCTGTATCTGATTTCTTAGGACCTGTGTCTAATCTCTCATATCATCATTGGCGAAAGTCTGTTCAGAGACCTTAAGCTTAGAGGACTTCAGGGATTTTTGGGCCATCCCTACAGCCTTCTTTGAGGCCCGAATCTTGCCCATCGGGCTTCCACATGGATTGCCATCTGCAAAACAAGACCACAGATCAGCAAGATTAAACAACAAAACCAATGAGCCCATGAGCCTAGAATCAAAGATGAAAGCCTTGAACTAATTGAAGCGGCCCCACAAAAGGCAGTGGTAGCTGAGGTGGATAGAGGCATTGAAAAGGCCTCCTGGATGTTCACCTCAAGAATAAAAGAAAGAAGGGTATGGGCGGCCAAGTTCATATCCTTGATAAGGGAACCCCCGTCTAGGGTAGCCCAATTTGGAGAACCTTTTGTTAAGACCACCAGAGGGAAAGCCTCACCAGCAGGTTCGATGGAGAAAGAACCCCGTAAAGACGGAGCCAAAGACTTTAGAGCCCCAACCATCTCTTTCGCTGAGAAAAAGGCTTGACATCTCTCGGCAGACACTTCTTGAGTCTAGATTTAGGGGGAACCCCCACGTATGACTAGGGGGTAGGGGAGTCTTTGGAATAAGAGGAGCCTTGTCAGGAGGAATAATGTAAACCCCCACATGTCTAAACTATCAACAATCGTCCAATTAGCTTCGTTTTGTATTTAATGTCTCCATTTACATCCAAAATCAAAATATAAGAATAATAAGTATATTTAGGTTCCAAATAAGTATAAAATGCTAAATATTAAATTAGAAAAAAATATGACATTTTGTATTCTCATCAATTAGCTAGCTTAGAGGAATTAAAGAAAAATGTTGATGGATATACTAGTTCTACATCATGTTGTTATAAATGATTTTAGGAGACGGATGGTAATTTGATTTTGGTTAATGAATGATGCTAGACATGGATCTTTATACAAGTCATACTATCTATATTGGAGATAGATATAAGATAGAATTTGTAACAAAAGACACTCAAATTCGAGTTAGACAAATATAGAAGAACCAAGCAGTCCGGCAGACTACCTTTCACCAATTTGATCATAACTCTTTGTTGGAAAGTCCAAATTGTGCACCGTTATTTTTGTTAGAACCCTAACTCGTATATCTTTCCAACCATATAGATCACACATACTAGAAATATCTGAGTCAAATCATTTTATTCTCCGAAGTTGATCACAAATCTGTACTATGGTATTCCTTGGATAGTAAAGTGTTGTACTTTCTTCTTAGACTTTGAAGGTGTAAACCCCCACATGTTTATCTCAATATATTAATGTACTTGTTTAGTGATTCTTATATATGTAATGATGTAAGAATAAATCATATATATTGAAACCATAAGAATAAATACTATGGAGGAATAAAATAATAATTTTAATGTTTCGAGTGTAAATTTATTTTAGTTTTGAAATAAATCATAAAAATAAATATTTTTAGGTTAAAATAACATTAAAAATGAATCTGTGACGTCGAAAAACCTAAGGGGGAGTCATATGGATCAAATTGGAGATTCTTAGTGGAAAAATCGTAATTTTAGAGAAAACAAAAACAAACTGTG